CATACCTATATAGCCCATATATGGCAGTATCCCCCCCGGGCATAGGGCATCGGGAAGTAGGCGTTTGTAGTAGGGAGGGTAGCCGGTAGGAACGGTGAAACTAGAGATAAATGGAAAATTGAGTAAGAAGGGGGGTTACATTAGAGTAAAAAGAAATTTCATCTGGCTATGGGGAACTGTCCGAGTAAAGGAAAAGCTAAAATGGGAAGGATTGGTCAAAGAGTAAAATTAACAATGTTTAAAAAGTTTTATTCAACCTTTTCCGCTTTCTCCTATATGTTAGAAAGCCTTTTGAACTTTTCTTAGCATTTTATACACATGAGTAAATATGTAAATATTGTAAATATTTTAAGCCCTTTTTTCATAAATTAATTTAAGTTTGGTATTTTAACTGATTTACATACTTGTATTCCCATTAGTACTTTTTACCGCTTTTTGAAATTTACACATACAATTTGAATAAAGATATTCCCCCATTTCATTTCATTCATTCGTGGATTTATTCATTCGGTCAGTCATTCACTCAATCAGGCATTCGCTCATTCATTCAGTTAGTCAGTCAATCAAGCAGTCAGTCAAGCAGTCATGCAGTCATGCAGTTACGCAGTCATGCAGTCATGCAGTTAGTCATCAGGCTTGTCAGCCAGTCAGTCAGACATTCAGGCAGGCAGGCAGTCAGTTAGCCAGTCAGTCAGTCAGTCAGTCAGTCAGTCAGTTAGTCAGTCATTTAGTCAGTCAGACAGTCCGACAGTCCGTCCGTCAGGCAGGCAGGCATGCAGGCAGGTAGGCAGATAGGCAGGTAGGCAGGTAGGCAGGTAGGCAGGTAGGCAGGTAGGCAGGTAGGCAGGTAGGCAGGTAGGCAGGCAGGCAGGTAGGCAGGCAGGCAGGCAGGCAGGCAGGCAGGCAGGCAGGCAGTCAGCCAGACAGGCATGCACGCATACACGCATGCAGGCATGCAGGCATGCAGGCAGGAGTGCAGGTAGACAGGTAGGCAGGCGGTTAGCCAGTCAGTCAGTCAGTCGGTCAGTCAGTCAGTCAGTCAGGCAATCAGACAGTCAGGCAGTTAGGCAGTCAGGCAGTCAGGCGGTCAGGCTTTCGGGCAGTCAGTTAGTCAGTCAGTCAGTCAGTCAATAGTCATTCGTTTATTCGTTCATTTGTCCAGCTTTTATACGCTTTTTTCATTTTTTTTGGTAACTGGACACAGATTGAGCTGGACTGACCAGTGATGAATACTCTATTTCTGGATTGCGCAAAGACGTGTACAAATAACACGAGCAACAAGTACATATATATAGAAAGAAGCTAAATAAACAAGGAAAAATAGAAGTGGTTTCACACAATCGCAGAAGAGCTTGATACAAATACATGCATAGCAAAGTACAAATTAAAAAGAGAAACTACAGTTACCCGAGTTTCACACTTGAAGCGATCATCAGACTGCTAAATAAATTATTTCCCTACTGCTATAAAAGCTGTCGTCAAGTTAACCTCATTTTCATAACTAAAAGCCTTCGTCAAGTTCTACGTTCTAATCTCCCACGTCTTTTTGGGATCAGTTAAATCCCGAGGAAATGAACTGTAGAAATCTTCGCAGGAAAATATTTTACTTCTTCCGATTTCACGTCAGAACTTGTTTTTCATCAAACTTATTCTCTATCCTTACTGATTTCTAGACTCTGGGGCACAGGCTCGCCAAGTGGATGACCCATCACCATAGGTGATGATGTGCTAAGCTGGGTCTCCTGCATTCCAAGTTTGACACCTGGGATTAAAACAAAAGTATAAAATAGATTCATTAACTACGTAAGCTCATTTAACCCCATTTTTCTCAGTTTTTAGCTTTACAGTTTGAATGGCTACCATTGGCAACTTAATTAAAACATTCTTTCAGTGATGAAATTTCCTTCGTACCTCAACATAAATGCCTTGTCTTTACTGGCTCTTGTTTCACCAACTCGCCTCACCTCAAGTGCACCTAACCCCAAAATTTTTTTTCGCTAAAATGGATCTACTTGTTATTTGAAATAGTTCTGCGAAAAAATTTTTGGATTCCGTTAAATCCTCGATTTTCTGTGCCCCGACGAAATCTCGAAAATAGCTCCAA